TTGACGAAGATTAAGTGAACCTCGAGTGGTGTGCGATGTAACACCATCCCGCTGGAACCAAAGGTGATCTCGCTGATTATTGTTCAGTTTGTTAACTTTTGGACACAGAAAATTGTTAAGCATATGAAAATATCATTTCATATTTCATCTTCCTGGAAAAAATGAGTACTCCAAACGCCGAACTCAGATATTGCATACCAGACTATTACTTTTGGATAGAAAATTTACGTTACCCGATAGGTGAAGGTGGACTTCATCGCTAGACATGGGAATGTTGTGTACAACATTGAAAAAGATGTCCTGGTAGCATACTGATAAAAAGGCCTTAAGAATTTAAATTATAAAAAATCATATTAATCCCTGTATCTGATGAACTATCATCTTCTACTCTTGATGTTATGATTAACGTTAAAGTACTCAAGATCCCATATTTTCTACTCTTATTTGATGACACACTTACCAACAGAAATTCTCATATTCTGTAGTAGTGTGTAGGATTCAGGCACATCTTGAACAAGGTGAGAGTTGTCGTAGGCCCTTAAATATTGGAAATTTGTCTGATAATTTCGTTTTCAATGCCGCTAGTTTTGACAGCTTGTACGTAGAGGAAATTTACAGCATTTTTCGACAATGTAGGCCACAGTCTATTGAGGGATAGACCATCAAAGGCTTTTTTCAAATCTATAAACATGTATACGTTTCTAAATGTCTCTATAAGTCCTTTTAAACAGATAAGTTATCAATTGAATTGTTCTTTGAAGCTTGTTACACAAAGTCCTCTGAGCAAAATTTCCTGTCGCCTTTTTTTATGTAAATTTCGACTCCCAAAAATTAAGAAGAATAAGTATATTCTTTTTTATAGTTAATGGTAAAATTGAAGTTGTATATATAGAAATACTGTTTTTATTGTCATTTGTAATAAGCAGTAATTTATTGGATTAAGGAACCATTTTCGTTTTAATATACAAAACGGTTGTCCACCTGCATAAAACAATATTACATTTTAACAAAAGAGAGATTTACTTTCATGGCAAACCGTGTTTTTTTAATTCGAGTTCAAAACATTTTATTTACCAAACTAGGATTAAACTCGCATTTAGGGCTATAATTTGAGTAAAACATTACTATTTTATAGCCAATAACGATTATTTTCGATGAAAATCTTGTTAGCTTATTTTGTACAATTTTGACAATATTGTCGGGTAAACAAATTTTATACATAAATCATCCCCACTATTTTAGAGTTTTAACAATTATCGCGCAGGCGTATCGATAACGGTGAAAATATAATTAAAGATTAGGTAACTATCCGATTTTGCATAGTTGCCGAGTTATTGCGAAAAAAAATACCGCTTTATCGAAATTGAATGCGGACAAAAAACCGACACGCGACAATATTAAAATTAGCTGCGAAATATTCGATAATAATCGACCGGTTCGTCCGTGAAAAATTTGTATTTCACGAAATCGTGAATATATCGATGTCAAGGCGATGATGAAACGCGCCTGGGGTATGGACAATATAAAACTGACAAAAAATCAAAAAATCAAGTGTGCCCTGCATTTTAAAAATACTCACAAATGACAATTCCAAAGGATATTTGTTATTAAGCTTGTCTGGATTATTGACTCAGTGCAAATCTGAAATGACTTCCGAATTTGTATATGTAAAAGCTGGGTTTCCATTTAAGATGGAGGAGCAACCTACAGGTAATTATTATAATAAAAATTCCGCAGATGCGCGCAAAATCAAAATGCAACATCTTTTATCGGCATTCAGGCGAGAGAAATCCAAATTAATAAGGGTCGTCATTAACATGACAGTAAATAAAAATATCTGCAGCAGCAGCAGTCTCCATTGTTATTGTTATTACACACCACTTTTTATTAAATTTTAATGAATGGATAATAATAAAATATGGAACTGTAGCCTCCTGCTGATCATTAGCACCCCTAGATTATATCGTTAACTAATAAAAGTTCATCAGAAAAAGAAAGTTTGGTTTAGTTTGGCGGGTAGAAGAAAGACAGAAGAAATTAAAAAAAAGAAAACCTAAGAATTATTTAAGGTCTCGCTAAACTTAGAATACCATAAAATGGTAGCAAACTTACCCACGAGGGTCTATCAACCAAAATTCGACTAAAACAATTTGATAAAACACCAGCTTTTAGTGAACCACTCGCAAAAGCGTGGTTACACCAATAACCAACCTAATACCTTTGTTTTACCTGCCGATAACTAACCATTAAAAATACTATGCAAATCTAGCGAAATGAAAATTAATGAATATATTAATTAGTGTTGAGAGTTATGAAGACTCATAAATTGTAATAGTATTTATAAACATTTAGCTATTTAAGGGTTGCCGTTACTTTTATGCATTTTTTTATTTATTGTGACTTCTGAATCATATCGGCCTCATTGTAGACCGTTGTATGGTCTGTTCATAGATATATAAGAAAATGACCAATTGCTTTTGAATGGGATTATCCAAGGGTGGTCATTAACGTACAATGCAACAAGATTATTTCCTAAAGTTTCGGAATTTAAATTCAGGGTAAATTGTGGTCCGTAATAGAAAATAATTTTATACCTACCTGTGTTTAATATTCTTTGGTTTGGTATACTACTTAGTTTAGTTTATTAGTAATCATTCTTATTTCGTGTGTAATACAGCGTGTGTTGAATCGTGTGCGAATTATGCAAAATATGTGCGAGTCTAGTGTATTTCAGGAGATGCTCCCGCGCAAATGTAGAAAACACTATTCTATCGAGACTAAGGAAGTTATAAATATAAAGTTATTTGACTCTCATTGAACGTGGTGTCAGCAAGCAAGCATCTTTAGAAGAAACGGCCACATTGACGAAAATTCCAACATCAACTGTATGGAAAATTGTGAATAATCCCATTTCAGCGAGGAAAAAAAGAAGTTATACTGACATTTTCTCGAGTGTACATTAGATATCTTAATTAGAAGGCTTGAAAAAGATGAAACCGGTGTTAAATGTGTCAGAACTACCTTATGCAAGTGTATTCAACACATGGATTTTAGATTTAAAAAAATTGACAAAAGGCCAGTTTTAATGGAACTTCTTAGAATTCGGAAATGGTGACTGGAATATCTAGAAAACAGAGAACAACAAAGGCCAATTGTTTACTTGGATGAAACCTGGTTCGACACTTATGATACCCCGGAAAAGAGTTGGGTTGGCTCAACTGATAAGTGTAAAACAAACGCGCCATCAAAAAGAGGTAAAAGAATAACTAATTTGCATGCTGGCTCTAAAGATGGTTGGATTCCAAATGGACTTTCTCTGTCTGCGAAAAATATTAAAGATTCTTTTCTGGATTACCATGAAGACACCACCGCAGATTTATTTGAAAGTTAGTTTAAAAACAAACTAGTTCCAAACATTACTCCTAATAGCGTCATTGTAATGGACAATGCACGTTATCACAGTAGACAGTTGACTAAAACCCCTTCCTCATGTGACACAAAAATAACGACATTTATTTTCACGAAGATTATACCAAAAAGCAATTAATTGGGATTCTACAAAGCTTGAACCTACAAAAAGGAATACGTCTGTGATAATTATGCAAAAAATCTAGGACATACAGTTTTAAGGCATACCTTACCACTCAAATTGTGTTAAACATAGAAAAAGCAGAAAAATCGTATATCCATATTGCAAATAATATAGAACAAATAATAATTAGAACAGACGATGATAGCGATAGTGATACTGATATATTATGTGAATAATTTTAAGTAATTTAAGTAGGTAATAAAAATAATTTGTAATTTTATTTTAGATTTAAACATAAATACATACATAAATAAATAAATATTGTTTAGTATCTTTCCTAACAAAACCCCAAGTAATTAAATTCTAAGCAAAGTACGGACCTGTTCGGCCATATTTCGTTCTTACAGCTTGCCCGAGTCTTTCCTTAATTCGTATCAGTTAGTCATTTTCTTATATCTATGAACAGACTTTAACTGCGTTGTTCCGTCGATCTGCATTTATTTTTTCGTATTATATTTTTGACTAATTTTATTTTAGTAAACTGCACTAAGATTTTTTTAACTGCGTTGAATGATTTTATTCTAAACAATAAAAACTTCAACAATTACATCGACTTACAAAAATACACTCAGCTCCAAGAGATAAATTGAAAACTTTACTCCACATAAGAAACGACTAGACTTTTATTTTGTTTACTTCTAATTTTAGATTTAGCACTGGGAAGAAATTACGAATATAGTTGTATCGTTACTTGAAACCAATCCATTGGCGAATGACTAATATTTCCATGGATAACTAAGTAGTATTATTGCCATTTTTTAAAAGAAATAAATTTTAGTTATTTATTTTGTAGGAATGAAAAATAGGCAAATAGGAAATTTTTGAACATTAAACAGTTTTGAAATTCCACTTTAACATACTGCTAGTTGAATAAAGAAAAATTAGAGTTTTGTATATTTGCAAGAAATAAAGAGTACCTGTCGCGCCTATACAGAGTGCCCTGGCCTATCACAGTTACCATAGCAACCATTCATATTTACGCAATTCATATATTGTCATCATAACACTGGCAAGATAATGAATGATTTATGCGGTCTCTTTTAGTTAGACCTCTTTGAATGCCATAAGGAGGTTTTAAAAATTTCGCGCGATAAGCTCTCGTTTACCCGAAACAATACGCGCTGCAAAAAAAAAACCGTCGAAAACACAACAACGCGACATCAATTAACCGGTTTTCGTTTGGCTTGCGTGCGATTGCTTTTTTCCCCGTCACTCGCGGCGGTCGTCTCGTTTGCACACGCGGCGAAACGGTCAAGACTAGCGCGCGTCAGTCCGTCTTTGTCGCACGCGGAAAAAACCGTCGTCCGTCCGTCCTCCGAGGGCGGCGCCCGCGGCCGATGACGCCCGAAGCCGCGCCGAACACCGCGATACTCGCGTCCGCGCCGCTTTCGGCAGTCGGCGACCGCGTTCACTGCTATCGGTAGCTGCATATTGCGTCGGCACTGCGTGACAAAAAACACGAAAATTTTTTGTGCACCCCGCGGCGGCGGCGATTCGGAAAAAAAATTATACGGTGAGGTGGTAGTTTTTTGCGGAATGTCGTTTCCCGCGCGAACGTCGGCGCCCCCGCGGCTCCCCCTTACGAAAATTATGTAAACGGGACGTAACCCCGGTTGCGTACCACCGCGTCGTACTCGAGACATCCCGGCGTGCCCTGATTGGCGTGGTCGTGTGACAGAGATCGGTTGTGCGACGGACCTTGAACAGCGAAAAAACGGAAGAATTCCGTGCGAGAATAAAAACGAGTTGAGGAAAAAAGTGGCCCAGTGCTTTTTGTTGTAGTAATAAACCGAGTGCATATCGTGGTAACGTCAGGAGCGAGAAGATACTAGGCCCGAGAGGCGTTTTGGATTTTTCGCCGTCTGGCGTTTTGGATCGGCCTTTTCCAAGGTTTGTTTGTTTGTACCCAGTCTCTGGAATTGTGTGCTACCGGTGCGTGGGGTTTCCAACGTTTAGGCAGTATAGGTTATTTATAGAGTTTTATTTTGCGCTGTCTTGTGGAAGGTTATATTTATTATTGCGTATTTCAAACGTGCTTCAATTAGGATTTTAATTGGCATTTTTATTACTCATTTTATTATTCATAGGGTAATAAGTGTTAAATAATGTCGTTTATGTCCAGGTAGATAGGTATGGTCTGTTTATAGATATAAGAAAGTGACCAATTGCTTTTGAATGGGATTATCCAAAGGTGGTCATTAACATACAATGCAATAAGATTATTACCTAAAGTTACGGAATTTAAATTCAGGCAAAATTGTGGTTCGTAATAGAAAATCTTTTTATACCTACCTGTGTTTAATATTTTTTGGTTTGGTATACTAGTTAGTTTAAGTTTATTAGTAATCATTCTTATTTCGTGCGTTGAATCGTGTGTTTGGCACCTACTGAAATCTCCCGTTCGTCGTCACAATGTTTTTCCCCGTGTTAAATCCAATGTCCTTAAATTTATAGAAACCGAAGTTTCTAACATCCCTCCACAAAGTTGGGCAAATTCTGTTAAACATATAGAAAAATCAGAACAATCGTATACCCATATTGCAAATAATATAGAACAAATAATAATAACAGGCGATGATAGCGATAGTGATGCTGATATATTATAATTTTAAGTAATTTAAGTAGGTAATAAAACTAATTTGTAATTTTATTTTAGATTTAAACATAAATACATACATAAATAAATAAACATTTTTTAGTATCTTTCCTAACAAAACCCTAAATAATTAAATTCTAAGCAAAGTACGGACCTGTTCGGCCATATTTCATTCTTACAGCTTGCCCGGGTCTTTCCTTAATTCGTATGAGTTAGTCATTTTCTGATATCTATGAACAGACTTTATATATTCAGTGTGTCTAAATCAGACCGAAATCTTTATGCTTACACCGCAAATTAGAGATTAAAATTCCCCGCAACATATCGTATTGTTTATAGATAACAGGTTTTTTTAAATAAGTATTTTCAACTCATGGAAAGAAACATGACTTTTAGTTCAATTCCCTGCTAAACTTGGCGACGCCCCTCTACTGTCAAAGAAATTTTCACGGGCTACTGTAAGACGATTTACAAATCTCCTGGATCCCTCCTTGATAGGTTGTTAATAAATCGAAACGTCAGCGAGTACGATTTACCACAGACCATTTTGACTGGTTGGCAAATTCCTTCGAACCTAGTGGCAAATCAAAGATTGTGTTTGCTGTATATTAATAATGCTATCGATCGATAAAAGCAAAGCCGGAATGTGCTTTTTAAGCTGAAATAATTCTAAACTAAAGACAAAATTAATTTTATTAGAAAGAAATAAAATTAAAAAAATCACCATAAGTATTATTAGGTATTTATCCATATGGGCCCATCACATTATCATATTAATTTCTAGTATTACTGTGTATACCCACATATTTGTGTTTATTTACTAATAAATACATCCTTTTAGCCACAAGGTTTGTAGGTATAACAGAATGTGAAAAGGATTTAAATTAGCCGTAATGATTAATAACTTTTCTTCTAAAACTCTGACGTTTGCACTACCTACATCCACAGTTACAAAAAAAGTCACTTGCGGTTACTGGTTGGATCTAGCCAATAGTTGAGAATCTGGTTATGTATAAAGTACAGACTTGAATCAAAAACATCGTGTTTTTCAAAGGATGCTTCATATATACCGAGGTATATACGTTGCTGTAATGAGAGCAATTATCAACTCTTAAAAAGATGATTTAACGTATATACAGGTTTGTATTTAAATAATGTATCCAGATAATTGAAATTCGTTGCCAAAATTATAAAAAAAATTATTCCCATGTTTGATTACTTCATTCGTTAAAAGGAATGGTTTAGATATTGCTGCGTTTTCTGTTGTATTAGTATTGGTAACTTGATAAATGTCACTATCCATATTGACCAGTTCAGGAAAATACCTTTTGATATCAGTCCGGTATGGGTTTCACCTCCGGCTTATGCAAAAAATGCTTTTGAGTAGTTATAAATTTACATGTATTAATACTTGGTATTAAAAATCAATTAAATTGCTAGTAAATAACCACATGGCAATACATTTTTCATTCTTAATGTAATAATCAAAATTCATTAATTCATATCTCCAAATGTAGATTTAAACGAGTAACTTTTACCTGTCAAATCAAATATAGTAACGAGTGAACGGTAATATGGGTGTGATTTTACCGAAGTATTTACTTCTAATGCACCATAGTGTAGAGTATAGTTTTGGTTAATTAGGTAATGTGAAATATAATTTGATACAGAGCGGTTAAAAAAATATATAATTTATCGAATTGTTATGACGACCACTTCTTCTGGGAATCTTCTTAATCTGGTGTCTCGTCGGTTGTTGATTGATATAGAGACAAAACTTTTTCAGTAAAATATTTGCGTTGGTACCCTGTGGTGTGAACAACCTTTAATCGAGCCTTTAATATTCAGTGGCGTGAATAAGTCTTAAATTTAATAATTATAAGTATGTAACTTTTATCTCCTATAATGTCTAAAGTGAATTAAAGTGAATAGTATTGTGTTCTGATTTAAAAGTCGAATATTTTAGATGTTCAAATGGGTATATATTAAATATTGAAACAAACAATAGCTATTAGTCAAAATTTAAATTTGAATATAATTCAGAAACGTACTCTGAGAAATGTTAAAAATCGTGAAAAGAAATTTTCTACTATCAGGCCATGTGTCGAAACAAAAAGCTTTGAAAATGTATGCAAAGTTGAAAATAGCCAATCAATATTTTAACGCAAGCGATGGTTGATTGCAAAACATTTGGAGTGAAACTATTGAAAATTTCGAGTTAAAACAGTCATTCAATGAAAAATATTGGCGCAAACACTTCTGAGGTGGATGAAGACAGGCAGAACTTTGTGAAATTTGCAATTTGGAACTAGCCAAAGTTTTTTTTTGCAGTGGAAAATTCTGTTATATTTTTGCTTCACTATTTGCTCTAATTCTGCGTTTTTTTTATCATTAGACGGATTTGGCTCATTAACTGTACATATGTGTTTATATACTTTATGTACATATACTGTTTTTGAAAAAAATATTAAAAAAAAGAAGGTAATTTTTAAAATTCAAATATTTAACGTTATCAACAAGATATCCAATAATCGGTCATTATGTTATAATTTTCAGATTTATTATTTTGAGAAAAAGAAAGGAGGAAGTACGAACTATAATACTATAATACGCACGGAATAGTTTATAACGGCCGCCATTATAAACCGATTTTACGGTAATTCGTACACCGTAATGTAACAAAACTAGCGTGATGCGTGCATGCACAGTTTAAATATGAAATATCGATTTTAATGCGCCCGCACGACATTATAAACGCAAAGTTTTCCACAATTTTTAGGTCCGTGCCTCGGCGCGGTTCACAATTAAAACCATATTAATGGCTTAATAAATAAATATATTTTTCCCGTATGCCCACGTGTACCGCGTATACAATCAAATCTTAAATATCAAGGTTGCTATATATACGGATTTTAATTAACATAATTAAATGTTTAATAACAGCGTGCGGATATGCGTGTACTTAAGACGTAAGGTAAGATATTCGATCTCACATTTGATAAGAATTGCGATTGAGAATTCACTATATAGCATTGAGTGTCTGGTGTATACCTTGTCTCAAAGTATATCGTCTCCTCTTTTGACGGTCATTATCGAAGTAAAATGCCGACGACAATAAAATATCTGACCAGTCGATATTGCGGGATGGACTTTTAAGGTGTTTTAAAAATATAATAATAAAATCACGTTGCTGCTAATAAAAATACGATTGCATTACAAATTATCAATAATTACCTAAATAAGTACGTTTTTATCCAAAATTTCATTTTGCATCACTTTCAGAGTCGTCATTAGGATTTATTCTCATATTTATTGCAATGTTACTCTGCTATGCTATGTTATTTTGTTAAAACCTGCAGATTTCAAAATTCTCAACTACATTTATTATAATCGGATACATTTGATTGGTACCATAAATGGTCTATGGGGTTGAGTGAGTATACAATGCACATACATATTGTTTTTTAAAAGCATATGAATAAAAAAGTTTGTTTCTGGTAACTGAATTTTAATTTTTGTATTTGAAGTGTGAATGTGTTGTCAGTTGTAATGGTGTTTCTATTGAACCAAAATTCATCTGTATATAAATGAACATATACATATATACCTTTTAGTTTCCTGAAGGTAATTAAATCTCCAAGTGCGCAATCCGCGTGATTCGATTACCACTTTTTTTAAATCCCATTTTTCGAGTGGAGGTATGTTAGGGCTAATGATTATATTGGTTTCAACGTCAAGCTTTTTTTTCAGTTATTCTTTTATCGAGGATACTGGCGTTTTTATAGGCAGGTTGCTTTTAAAACTTCTTCTTTAATGAATCAATCCTCTACTTATTAAACTCGTACTGGTCTTTCACAATGTGTAACTGGTTTTCCATAGCAACAATAGGTATGAAGGTCCTACTACCGTCTGTAAAATACCTAATTACCCACCGATCGGATGTTTTCGGAGATATTTCTCACGCTTTGAATTTTGACGTTTGTCGATTCTGACGGTCATGTCAGTGAATGTATTCGTGTTGTTTTTTCGAAAATGAACCCAAAAACTAACGGTCGTAGAAAAAGTGTAGTATGCAACACGTTTGGTAAACTTTTTAACTCACTCGTTTATTAAAAACTGGCTCCGCTCATGTCGAATAAACTCGTGAGTCAAATGCCGTTTACCGCACTTGTTGCATAATATACTATTTGAGGGCGGGTCGGTAAAAACGAAGGTGATATACTTGTGAAACTCACTGCTTCTAATAGTTTTGTTTTATTTTAGAAATAATATTAATGATTAATATACCGCCATA